TGTGTGTGTGTGTGTGTGTGTGTATATATATAATTTCTTATATTATTTATTATTTTAATCAAATAAAACTGGAAAATATTTATGGTTCTTGAGGTCAGAAGTAAGGCGTTATGATTACTGCTGCATAATAATGCCATTATAATTCATTTTATTCATATGTTTTGACATTTCAGTGATTTAAACTCTTTCAACGGACAAAATGAAAGAACAAAAAAACGGAGCCTTCATGCTTGCATCTCCATATTATATCAGAATCTTTTCCCCTTAATGCACATTTATTATTTTAACATTTAGTAAAATATTTATTTCAATGGATTTTGAGTATATTAATGACCATTAAGCAAATTGTTCATGCACATGTGAATTACTGTAATGCAAAAAAATAAATAATATACCATTTAGCTTTTAAATACTATTTATTAAATATGAAATTAGACTTATTATTATTAGCTATTTATTTATATGATGGCAGTACTTGCCGTACTGACTTTAATTTATGCTGATATAAAAATGATTGAATTGTAGTATTTGTTACAGCAAAACTGTCAAAAAAAATACTGCGAACATAAAGGCAATTAAAATTAAACATCTGCAAAGATAATTAGTGGTGAATTGTAATGAAAATATTATGATTTTGTAATTTTTGTTTTTAATTCTTTTATTTATTTATTTATTTATTTTTGTTTTCTTTATTCATTTATTTATTTTAAATAAAAATGTGTTTTTGTGGCATTCACGCGTTACGCTATTAGACCAAAGGGTTAAATACAACCTATGATGAATGCCAGTCTCACGTTCTTCACGCCTGTCCCGGAAAACTCCATTACCCATCATCCACCACCATGCAGTGACGTCACGTCATAGTTTTCATCAGGAAGCGGAACCATAAAAGTTGTTTTCCCCTCGCCTTTGTTGTGTTAAACCCTCCGTTTTCTCGCCTGAGCTCGGCTTTTAAGGTATCCACCCTCCTTTATTAAAACAAACGATTCGAGTAAGGTTTTAGAGCAGACGGTCTGCCGTAAGCAACCAGTTATTGTTCGCTCGCAGTCCAGTAACGCTGTTTTGACTGAGGTGTAGATTAGAATGATTTTAATTTAAATTCTTTAATCATTTACACTGTTCCCCAAGCAGTGTTATAATTTTTTTTTCTGCCTAGATGATTTGATTATGTGACAAAGCTGTGATGGCGGTTTTAATGCATGATGTTTTACAGTAATCCCAATTTCCTTGTAGCAATCATGTGAATCATGTATTATGGCAGTACTGTTTTGTGTAGGCAGATGGCAGCAATGTTGCAGCATATACCTGTGGATGGATTTATCAAGTGTTTTCTTTATAGGAAACATTATGAACCTTGAACGGATTCCGAATGAGGAGAAGCTTAGCCTCTGTAGAAGATACTACCTGGGTATGTTGTGACAATGGGACATCATGACAGGATGTGATGTGTTTTCTGTACACGTGTTGTTGTTTTCATTGTGCTGATTTGTTCCTCAGGTGGCTTCGCTTTTCTCCCTTTCCTCTGGTTGGTGAACGTTCTGTGGTTTTTCAGAGAAGCGTTTTTAAAACCGACGTACACCGAGCAACCCCAAATAAAATCATGTGAGTATGTGACAGGACACACGTGATGACTCACTGTTTCACAAGACGTGTGTTCTACCACATTGTTGCGGGTGATATTCTTCCTTGCAATTCTTCCCACAATCTGGTTTAAAATGTGAAAAGAATCTGCCTACACGGACTAAATTCTATTTCGGAGTCAGCGTAAAGTCTGGAGGGAACTTCTTTGCTGTTTCTTGTGCGGTGTGCACAAATGTTCGGAGTAGATTTACATAGCAGCTCCAAACAGGCCGATAGATGGTGTTCCCTCGCTGGGATTTTTGAGCCGGGTTTGTGTAAACTAAAGTGTGTTTATATGCAAGGATCATGATACTTTTAAGGGCAAGAAACACTTTATGGAGTTACTTGTGTTTATCAGTCAGCTGTATTAAATACAATGCTATATTTAAGTTGTAAGGTTGTCTCATTGTGGATATTGCTCTGCATTATGGTGAGCATTGTTGCTTTTTCAGAACTGCTACTACATAAAAATGACAATTACATACTTGTAAAATGTAATTTAAGTAACTTTGGATAAAAGCGTATGCAAAATGCATAAATGTAAATGTAAAAATAAATAAATAATATACATAATTAAAACTAAGTCAAAACAACAAGTACCATTATTCTGCTATAAATAAAAATAAAATAAATCAGTAAATTAAGATTAATAGTTAGAATCAGTGAGTGTTTTGCAATGTATTACACAGGTGAATTTTAGTTGTTGTTTTTTTACTATTATAAATTGTATTTGTGCTTTGTAGTTAGTTAACCCTATAAAGTCTGACATATGAAATAAGTAAAAAAAAAAAAAAAATCTATATATATGTATTAAATGTTACTGAATTTTTTAGACAAAATCTTAAAAAAAAACAAATCTGAAAAAAGTTTGTAAATGGGTTTTTCTTGAGTATTATTTTTGATACATCAGGCTTTTATGGATCATATAATAAAGTGAGAATATGGAGCTCACACTCGGAGGGAAAAAAAGTGCCTCAATTTTATTCACAGGCCAAAACTGAGCTAAAAAAATAAATAATCCAATTTGGTGCAGTTGCTGATATTTATATGGCCAAAAAGATGAAATTCTCATAGCTTGTAAATGCGATCTTTATAACAATATTGCAGACTACGGGCATAAAATGAATAAAATGGGTCAGTTGTCATACTATATCTACCATTAATATGTCTTTGTAAGATTATATTTAAATGTTTAGTTTTATGATCAAAGCTCTGTAGTTTTTATTGATTTTACCAAGAAATAATGGAATGGATAATCATGTAAACTGTAAACTTAAAATATAACTATCAATATATAAGTTATTCTTAAGTTTACTCCATAAAAATCCATGTCCACAACCTGACAGTGCAGTGGATATGTTTAGAATTACACCAAAAGGCCTTTTATTTGCTATAAACTATCAATCAAGGCCTTTTATTTGCTATAAACTATCAATCAGACGACAGTAGGCATGTAGTAGGCTGTGTGTAAATCAGGTTTTTCAGCTTTTAAGTCTTGATCATGCTCATAACTTGAAAATTTGCATATTAAATATGATACAGTAGACTTCATAGGTTTAACAGAGTTCACAGTTCACTATGCTGTCAGTGAAATGACTGATGTATATTAGTTACAGTTTGTGATGTCTAGGATGTAACGTATCCTGTTTCTTCTGGCCTCCACAGATGTAAAGAAGTCGGCTCTGGGGCTCATAGTGTGGGTGGCCGTGCTGACGACGTGGATCACCATATTCCAGCATTTCAGAGCCCAGTGGGGTGAGGTGGGAGATTACCTCTCCTTCACCATTCCCCTCGGCACAGCCTGATCACATCTGCTGCATTACAATACCTCTGTTTTTTATTCTCGCTATTTTTCTCCTCCCATCGACAAGATGCTCCTTGGCTAATTTTACCGCTGTCGTCGCATAGAAGATAAACTGGATCTGTCTGGGAGTTGTGGTATTTTGTGAACTTATGAAATCGTTTGTTGATTGAGTGAGATAATATGGACACAGATGCACCATGCTAAAGAGCAAGAGTTCATTTCCAGCACTACTACTACTTCTTATTTCCTGTTCCTTCTTTCTTTAGTTTTAGTTGAGATGTTTGTTATATTTGAGATCACACATTCATATTGTTAACTCTGACTTCTGTCAGTGCATTGAAAAGAATGTATGACAAAAATGATCTCTGACATGTGATATTATTGTTCGTGAAGAAAAAGGCCATTCATTTTTTTTCTGCTATGTATTAATAATTTGGATGGACAGTAAAAACCACATATTTTGTCCATAAATATAAAATTGTGTTTTGCACAATTTGAAATAAAATCGGAAAAATGTTCTGCAGTGTCATTGCCTTATCATGAACTGTGAAATACAGAAATATATGGAAATGAACTATTTAAATAAAATGTAAATATCTTAAATATATATAAATATAGTGCTGTCAAACAATTAATTGCATCCAAAATAAAAGTTTTTGTTTACATAATATATGAGTGTGTACTTTGTATATTTATTATGTATATATAAATACAAACACATGCATGTATATATTTAAGAAAAATATGCTATGTTTATATATTAAACATTTATATATAATATAAATGTATATGTAAATATTTTCAAAATATATACTGTATGTGTGTGTATTTATATATACATAATAAATAAACAGTACACACATACAGTATGTGAACAAAAACTTATTTTGGATGCAATTAATCACGATTAATCATTTGACAGCACTAATTAAATATAACAAGTTTCTAATATTTTATTTAGTTCAGTGGTGTGACAAAAAAAGATTTTTGGCATTAACAGGCAACCATGTTAAAATTAACTATATAAATATAGGTATTATATATAATAGAAGAGCTTTTTCAAGTTAACGGAGACTTTTACCTCTTAAATATTCATTTTCATTTCATGATTATTTAGTCCAGTGGTGTGATAGAAAATGAAGATTTTGTGTATTAAGTATTTTAACTGTTAAAAATGGTTTTTAATATGCTTATTTTTTATGTTTAACATCATGTTTATTTATTTGCATAATAGATAAATAACAAGCAAAAAATAAGTTTTTACTTAATGTACCTATTTGCGTCGATGCAACAAACAGGAATATAACTGTAAGGGAAAAACTGTGTCAAAATGTTTACCTTGTTTATGTCCTGTGGTGTGACATGATAACTCCATCTAAAATAATGTAAACAGTATTTTTGTAATTGTATTATAATTATTGTGCATGCATCTTTCAGTACCTCATTAATTCAGAAACTACATGAATATTTAAATCTGTGGAAAAAAAGGAAAATACAATCCTTTAATCAGATGTTTATTTTGTAAACTAAGAGTGTAATCCATGTTCCTTTGTCATCCAACCATTTGCCATTTTTTAGAACTTGTTGTGAATGGAAAACAAAAGCCTCAAAAAGTCAACAGGGCTCTAGAAAAATCCACATGATTGACGAGTTCCCTTGTTCTGTTGCTTACTAATCAACAGCTTGCAATTATTTTAAACCTGCTGCATACCAGACTTTGTAATATCGACGCATGAAGCCTCTGTCTCATGTGTAACCCCTTACAGGCGCCTATTATGAAATCCGATCCAACTTTTGAGTGCACGCTAAGCTCCTCGTGGATTTCATGGGGGCTGTTTTTAGTCGCCTATAGCCAGTGCACGGACAGAAAGTTCTGCTTCTGTTACCAGCGGATGGCAACAGCAGAAGGACATGATATCCTCAGCCCCAATGACTTGCAGATCTGCCAATACATTTGTCATGATTTAAATCCAAAGGCCAGAGGATACCTGTATTTTCTGAGCTGTAAGCTATAGTAGATGTCTTTAGACATGAGTTGTGAATTATTCTGTTGGAGGTCAGCAGTAGGACAATGTGTTTGGTGTGATATAAAAATATAATTATTAATCCCATCCTTCCTTTGACAGGACATTTCCCTGATTTAAAACCTTCGAACAGACATGTCAAAATGTGTAGATTTTGCCACCTTCTTACTGGAAGACATCTCCCATACTGTATCAGACTTTTTAATTAGATGTGTTTATGGTCTAGATTTCACATTATGCAATAGCATTAAACATGTTACTTGATAAACAGACCAAAAGCGATATGGCATCATGCATTTCTTAGTGCTTGCCAACCACATTTCTCATTAACACTAAGATAGAAAATGCCAATGACTGGCAGCGGGTGTGCCTGCTCAATATAGCAAAATACTACAATTTCAGACTCTGAAACAGACATGAGCCTCATGTTAAATTAATAAAGGTAATATTAAATGCACAATAATTGCATGTTTAATTTCAATACAAAACCCTTCCATGTAGCTTGTGCAGGTGCATATGCGGGAAAAAATACTTCTCTGGCAACAAGCAGCAGACAATAAACCAAAGATGAACCAGTTTTCACAAGGGATCATAGGTCTATATGCCAGGCAGGAACTATACTATATTGAGTCAAACAGCAGGGATTTTTGTTATTTGATTTTCTACATCTTTACATTTACATTTAGTAATTTAGCAGACGCTTTTATTCAAAGCGACTTACAAATGAGGACAATAGAAGCAATCAAAATTAACAAAAGAGCAACAATATGTAAGTGCACATGACAAGTCTCGGTTAGCCTAACGCAGTAAACATAGCAATGTATTTATTTTTAAAAACAACCAAAAAACAACAAAAACAGTTTGATAGAAGTGGCTGGAAGACCTGCCAAGAGAGCATTGCAATAGTCCAGCCTGGATAGAACAAGAGCTTGAACAAGGAGTTGTGTTGCATGTTCTGAAAGAAAGGGCCTGATCTTCCTAATGTTGTATAAAGCAAATCTGCAGGACCGGGCAGTTTTAGCAATGTGGTCTGAGAAATTCAGCTTATCATCAATCACAACTGTCTTACTGTCTTCTGTCTTAGCCAGGTTGAGTTGAAGGTGATGGTCCGTCATCCAACAAGAAATGTCTGTTAGACATGCTGAGATGCGAGCAGCTATCGTCGGATCATCAGGATGGAATGAGAGGTAGAGTTGAGTGTCATCAGCATAGCAGTGATATGAAAAGCCATGTTTCTGAATGACGAATTGTTAATTTTGTTGTGATAGTATGTCCTTTTAGCAGTGGAGACATTAGCAGAGAATGAAGAGAGGAGTGATCGATATACATTAAGGTCAGTAGGATTTTGTGATTTACGCCATACTCTTTCTGCAGCTCTGAGCTTAGAACGATGCTCACGGAGAGCATCAGATAGCCAAGGGTCAGAAGAGGTAGTACGAGCTGGCCTGGAAGACAAGGCCAGTTTAGACAGTGTCTAAACAAGATGTAAGAGCGTGGAGCAGTGTCGTGTGTAAATAAGGTCCAGTTGGTTGCCTGATGCACACATGCATGTACTATATATATTAAAAAAAATATGTTATGTTTATATAATAAATATTTTTATATAAATTATATGCATGTAAATATTTGCAAAATATATACTGTAGCCTATGGGTGTGTATTTATATATACATAATAAATATAGGCTTCACAGCACACACATATTTATAAAGTAAACAAAAAGTTTTATTTTGGATGCGATTAATGGCAATTAATCGTGTGTACTATATAATCGTATAGGCCTATATGCTATATTGTAATCTGGAAATAGAATACGTAATTTACTTTAAATGTCCGCACGTGCTGTGTCATGTGCATAAATATGACCAGAGCTGTTTGCACTTTCCAATTTATTTATAGACGGACACCTCACCATATTACACATAACGCCCTTTGACATTGAATAGTAAGTAGCACATTCGGTTTCTGAGTGTCACTCTATGCTTAATATAAAACAGCCAAGGTGGTGACAGGGATTGGGACCATTTGAATGGGAACCATCGTGTTCCCCACTGAATTATTACATAAGGGGATGCTTTCATCATGGGAATAAAAGGATGGGTTAAATCCCACTCCTGTCACTGGCATTCCATAACAACAAATGCAGCTTTAATAACACTTTTGGCATCGAGCACCACGATTAACAATCTCAGATCTCTGACAGCACCATCATCAGTCCACTTATTTCTGGCATTTGTTTAGAGGAAGAGCTCATGTAAAGAGGCGGTGTTTTCCTCAAGCTATTTAAACCTCCTACTAACCTGGAGAGCAACAATTTTCCTGCTTTCTGTTGCGTAACAGGATAGACTTCAACATAATAACCAACTAGTCATACTCTCTGAATTTTCTGAAGCAGTATTAGTCTATTTAGTGGTTATTATTTCACATTCATCCAAGAAACATGGACTTCGACTTGCTTCCTTCTTTTCCGGTGAGCGGTATCCCATGGGAAAGGGTTCTCCCACCGTTATTCCCCCGGTGGAACGGGAAAATGGGACCTTATTCATGGACCCCAACCGAACTTTTAATCCCGGTTTCTGAGCACACCGGAGCAGCACAGGTGGAGTAATACGTGTTATTATAAAAATTCTCTGTGGTAACTTCTCACTGTATAAAACACTATAGCCTATATACTGTATATATTAATGATAAATAAAACAATAAATTAAACAAATTAACATTGTTATTATTTTATCAATTTTAACTACGAAAAGTCTATCTTAGTTCTCATATTTCAACTTTTACAGTGAATTTGTCCAAATAAATTTACAAACAAAAGTTGTTGACTATGAAATATGAAATTATAAATATATGATATAAAGAATTATATAGTAGCAAGTGCACAAGAGCTAGTGGTAATGATGAAAATATAAAGCTAAAAAAACTATAAAATCTATATTTAATAAATAAAAATCATTATATTAAATCTAGAAAAAAAAATGTAAAAAAATATATACTATAAAATAAATAAGTAACTAAATCTTTAATTTTCTCTGTAGTAGAGTTCGAAATGGATTGCGTTCTGGTAATGAATTAAATTCACTTTCTCTACAGGTGACCTGTGATCATAAGGGATTCACTGTGCAGGTTGATGTGAAACACTTCAGTCCCGAGGAGCTGCTGGTAAAAGTGGTTGGAGATTATGTTGTG